TTACAGATGGAATGGGTGAGTAAAATAGAGAAAACATTCACACACACACACACACACAGTCCTGATATGTAGAAAGCACCTGTTTGTCTGTATATTTCTTCATATATAAAAGTGGAACCTTTTTTATGGACTTGGACTGATCCTGAAATACTTTTTTGTCCATTAATTACATGAAAACCTCACTCTCTCACATTTTGCAGGAGGGTGCCAATTGTCCATTGTGCCGTGGAAAACTTGAGAGGAATGAGCTGATCCCAGTCCCAGAGAATACAGAGGAGGAGGAGTTCACAATAGAAGGACCATGGCAGTCCAGTGCCAAGGTGAGTGTTATCACAATAGAAGGACCATGGCAGTCCAGTGCCAAGGTAAGTGTTATCACAATAGAAGGACCATGGAAGTTCAGTGCCAAGGTAAGTGTTATCACAATAGAAGGACCATGGCAGTCCAGTGCCAAGGTGAGTGTTATCACAATGGAAAGACCATAGCCATCCAGTATAATATAACTTGGATGTACAGCTGTATATTTGTGTGTCAACAGCCATTGTGATTTCAGGTGGATGCCTTGATGAAGGCCCTGATTCAGCAGAGGAAGGATGACCCAACCATCAAGAGTATTGTTGTATCGCAATTCACTTCCTTCCTCACTGTACTAGAGACTCCACTTAAGTAAGTTGGTGTGGGGCCAAAGTTAAATGTTTACTTTTCTTCATCTTATTAAAATTATTATAATTTATCAGACAAATGTTGTCTATTTGCCTGTCATTTGTTTCAACTGTATAATGCAATGTACAATAAGGGTAATACTGCCTTGGCTCCAAATTTGTTCAGTTAGTAACCACATTTCCTTTGGACCAGTAGATTCTCAGTCTCTGCTGCCCTTAGGGCCCAGTAGGATTATAATTTACAACCCATTTCCATAGATTAGATCGACCTACTTTAGATCGACCTAACTCCCTGGGGGTTCACGCTAAATAGCTGTCAGCCGGGCGGACACGAAAGTTAATTACCCCTTATAGCTTGTAGTAGGCGGGGACGGACACTTAAGGGGGATTATCTGACAGTAATCTAGTGAGACTCCCCGCGGTGATAGATCAATCTAAAGTTGTGGGAATAGACCCTTACAAACACTGTAATTACATAAAGAAATTTCACTTACATTTTTCCCCCCATAGAGCTGCTGGGTTCAAGTTTGCTCGTCTCGATGGCACCATGACAGCTGCGAAGAGAACACAGGCCATTGAGCAGTTCTCTGACCTTGACCCCCGTGCCCCTACAATATTCCTCCTCTCACTGAAGGCTGGAGGTATGGGACTGAACCTTACTGCTGCCTCCAGGGTTTTCTTGATGGATCCGGTAAGTTTTTTTTTTTTTTTACTTCCTTCTCCTTAAGACTAAATGCTATTTTTTTTCTGAAATTCAGATTTTAACAGAAACAGGAGGCCAGTACTTGCCACAAAAAATTATTTATTCGTTATTAGTTTTTAAACATTTTTGCTATTTACCATTAGCTGCACATCTAATGAACACTTAAATATGGCTTGTGTTAATATTTTCTGTAGTGTTTGTAGCCAGCAACAGTTCAAAACATATTAGCCAAAGATTTGTTTACAACATCCAAGCAGTATATCATTCACTTGCAATGGTACAAGTAGACTTTTTCAGCAGAATAATTTAGCTCTCTGGAGTATAGTAAAAACCTGTGTGATGTGGAGTGATTCTGTCACAAAGGTTTAAAAAGTTGGTTATTTTACAGTAGCCTACCCTCTTATCTATTTATTTATTTATTTATGTATTTATTTATTTATTTACTTATTTATTTATTTCTCCACAGGCCTGGAACCAAGCATCCGAGGAGCAGTGTTTTGACAGATGTCACCGTCTTGGACAAACCAAGGACGTCGTCATCACAAAGGTAAGATAATGGGCCACATTCACAACAGTGATCAACAGATCTCAGCAGATCAAATATGGCTGACTCACTTAAACACTTGCCCTATAATTTCCTAATAGACACTGAATAGATTTCTCATGGGGATTATTTGCCAAGCATTCAAGTGGGTCTGCCATTTTGATCCATGGATCTGTTGGTCTCGTGTTCTGATTGCATCCACAGCCAGTTACAACCAAGTTTACGCAGGGATAGGGCTATGTCATCTGTCAATATGCTCAAGAATGACACAGAGCTAGGTAACATTGACAATGTGTAATTCCTGAGGAAGGACTTGGAGTAGTATGAATTCCACTCCACTTAGTCTGTTAAATAACAGAGCTATATTCCTCTTAGAGTATAGAAAGGCAGTGTGAAATTGGAGAAAGTGCTTAATAGTAGAAAGGGGTGACAAAATATGGAAATATGCGTGTTCCCAGTGTACTGCCATGTAACAAAATTTTATATTGTAAAATAATTACTGAATATTTTCTTAATCTTATAGAGTTGAGATTACATCATGGATTTAATAATTTTGGTGAATAAGTGTAAAGAAATGTCTGAACTGCAGCCAAAGTAGATTTGTTACAACAGATTGTTACCAGTATGGAGTCTCAGAATTTGTTTGATTCGTACATTTCAGTATGTTGTGAAGGATTCAGTGGAAGAGCGCATGTTGGAGCTGCAGGAGAAGAAACGCAAATTGATGCAGGGAGCGTTTGGGAAGAAGCAGACAGCAGAGCAACGAAGAGAAACACGCATTGCAGATATCAAAACTTTGTTTTCATAGAACTGAAAACTTAAAACAGCTTTTCAAATGTGTCATGCAGAAAGTTTGGTTTTATTCTATGTTAAGTTCCGAGTTTTTAGGTGCATGGTTATAAAAGAGATGTTTAGAAAGAACAGTGCAAAAACATTTTTGTATTGATGCAATTTAGCCTTCAGGTATATGGTGCTTGACATAAATTTGTAGTGCATTAAGAATATTTTTTTCGGTTCTGTGAAGCCCCTTGTCTGTAATGCAGTACCAAAATTAATTTCATTCTCCAGTTTTATTTCTTCACACTATTAGAATCAAATTATTCCATTTTCTATTTTTTTAAGTTTGTATTTTTGAGAACATTAATGATACAGCTGAATCAGTTTGAGAGGTGCTTGGTTGGTGATGCAAGTGTATAAGATATTTAAAAGTGGGTGTCACACAAAGTGCCAAATTGTTGTTTTTGTCTCATAAAATTTAGTGGTTATACATGTAGTAGGTGAGATTCAGTCATTTTATTCGTAGCAATAGAAAATTTTAAAATGTATTACCAGCTACCCATTAGAAATATTCTAAAATACATAATAGCAAATAGATTAAGAAATTTGCAACTTTTTAATACCGTTTTTTGTTGGATTCGAAACTACTTTTACCTTTTAATTTAGGCATGTCCAAAGTAATTAATTAAATTAAAACAGAACTTCTTTAGTGGATTCAACGTTTTTTGGAATTTCATCTGCTTTAATATTTTGGACAATAGCACTTTTGCCATTTATAAAACATTCAATTAAAGATTATTTGGTAATTTTTTGAAGATATTAAACATAGTTTTTCTAATTCGACTTTGTTAAATGGAAATTTAGGTCATTTTGTTTACAAGAGATTTATACCAAACTTGAAAAGTAACATTGTACAAGAACTTTAGAAATGTATTAAAGTATTTTGAACAGCTTGTGTACTTTTTTGGCTTCATGATCATGATATTAAGTACATTTCACTTACATCAAGAAGTTAAATTTCCTGGAAAATTTAACAACATTTTACCACCTCTGTATACAGTAATTACATAATCTTTTCAATGGGGATAAAATGTAAATTTTACAGATACTGTATTTTTTAAGTCATAATTTCTTAAATTTTGAACATCCTACTGAGTGGTAAAAACTCTTAGACCAATAGTGCAGGAAGTCAGCTCTACATAGCCTGCTGTCCAGGAAGTCAGCTCTACATAGCCTGCTGTCCAGGAAGTCAGCTCTACATAGCCTGCTGTCCAGGAAGTCAGCTCTACATAGCCTGCTGTCCAGGAGAAGGGGGAGATTCAAGTCTGCACCAGCACCAAAAAAACACCATCTCCTAATGTCAGGAGCAGACCCAAGAGGTGATTTCAATTATTTATTTATTTGAATTTTATTTGTATTTTAATTGCATATGTTTGTTTCTTTATTTGAATTTGTACATTGCATGTGTTATTCACTGTGTTCAGATGTATATGAAATAAGTTGTATTCAAAGCAGTCTTCACAGATTGACATTTTGATTAGTATTTATGTCATTCAAGCAATATGGCACCCAAGTGTCCCTTTGTAAAACACTGATAAGACTAAATATTATGTAATTCATGTTTAAAGAAACATCAAGAAGCCTGCCAGATATGATGAAGAAGAGATATTTGTGCCAGCTAATATAAGGAACTACAGTACTTCACCAGACTGACTAAGGGGTTGAAGAGAGGGACAAACACTGTCAAACCAAGAAACTTATGGAACATATTTCATGTAAAGTTTTCTACTTGTCAGGAAAAGAACAGTTTTGAAATAGTTAATGATTTGAAGAGTAGTTCAGGGATGAGATTTTGCCATTTATCAGAAGATTTGTGACTTATTCTTGGAGCCTAAAATATCATTGGTCGAGGTTTCCCCCAGACCTTGCACCAAATGTTCAATTTTTTCACTGAATCCCAGTCTCATCCTTGATATTAAAGGCATTTAATACAATAAAATAGTTGTTAACATTGTTTTATGAGAGTAAATTATATAGCAATATGTGCACATTTATTTGAATTCTTTTGTAGCCAAATGTAGGAGAAAGTCAACCACTGTCTTGGAGGGCAACACAGAGGTCCAAGTCCCAGAGGAATCAACTGTAAATATCTTGTCCAAGGAACCACCACAGCATGGTACTGTTCCAGCTCAGGCAGACTCATCATCTGAGAAAAATAAACAAGTTCATAAACCAGATGTAATATCTCAGGCTCTGGTGCCTGTTGGACACCAGGGCAGAGGTCCTATATTAACAGTACGTGAGACTGGAGAATATGAGGGTGAGATCCCAGGCACCTGTGGTCACACACTCCACTACCGTCACTAATGATCAAGGTACCTTTGTCCAGAACCAGCCAGGTGTGTCCACCCTCCAGCTGACCAACACCACCTTCAAGAGAACTGCCCTGCCGAGCTGGCATCCAGAGAAAATTGCTTCTGGTCAACCACAGCCACTGCCTCAGTTGTCCAGTGTGTCCAAAACAATCACAGGTGACCAGTCCAGACATATTAACCATGGTACAGGTCCTGTGGAGATGTCCAGTGGACAAACCACCAATGTAACTGACCAGTCCAAGTGGCCAAAGACAGAACCAGCCACACCAGAATCTCCTGTGCCCCCATGTGTTGGAATGGAGACTGAAGTTGCCACAGCCCCACACCCCCTGAAGAAGGAAAAACCATGTAACTCTCCCTTAGTGAAGCAGGAATTCAGCTTGAAGAAGTCACGGAAGAGGAAGAGTGCCCCTTTTATACCTGGTGCCAAAGGTATGGTACAGGGATAAGATTTTTTTTAATTATCAGCAGTTATTGACTTTTTTACGGTGGTTTGGGTGCTTACAACAGTAATGAGACTTTTCTGGCAGATTTTGGACTTTTTTGAAGCCAAAGCTGCTCATCACTGATTGTAGAGGATAGAATAGAATGAATCAAGTTGTAAGCACCAATCTTTTAAAGCCAAATTGATTGTAAGTGCATTTCCACCATGTTGAGTGCTTGATGTACACTTTTGTACCCTATATATAATGCTTTACCTATATGATATGTGCTTTATTTCAGTCCATCTTTTGCCAAAGTTACCACCCCTGCCAAATCTTGAGTTGCCAGATCTTGATGCTGACGTCTCCAGTGGTAAGAAGAGGAAAGGCACAGTGTCTGCTCCCATAGGTAATTGATGGTCAATGAAATTCCCACCACCCTCTTTAAAAAGAATAAAAATGAAAAAAGGGGACAGAGAAAGTGTCCTTCTTGTTCTGTTTTCAAATGATAAATGTCCTGACTTGATTGTCGTCTGTTTAATTGGGTGTTGAATTTTGACACAGTGAATAGTTTTGAGACTCATGTTCAAATGTTACTTTCAGTGATAGATGAAGATTCTCTACCAGATGTGGATGTGAAAGAGAACATAAAAAATAAAAGTCCAGGTAAGTGACACTATGGGACCATTCCCAGACCCTGGTGTACTAACTATGGTTCGATCTATCTGTGAAGGGTTCCTTGCTAAATTGCTTTCAGCTTAAGCAGCTTAGATGAAACTGCTAGGGGGTAATTAACTTTTGTTTAGCAGCTTCAGTAGGTGTGTCAGACATCTAAGCCGTTTAAGCAGTCTATGCTATAATATAATTGTTTTATCTGCATTGTATGCCTTTATTTTTTTTTAGCCTAATGTAAGGAATGCTTCAAATCTGTTACAGATAAGTTTTTAGCTCAATGTAAATGATATTTACTATTACAGGTGCCAAGGACCTCAGTAGTGATGGTCGCACTCATTGTGTTGGTCCAAGAACAACTCTAATTGTCTGTCCTCTGTCTGTACTCGGCAACTGGATTGTAAGTGCTTTCTTAAACATTATTTGTGAAATTCAGTGGTATCCATCTCCATCATTTATATGACTCAAATTTTATTAAAGCAATAATAACTTTTCATTTCGGCCAAAAAATGAACTTTCCTGGAGTAAACAACAATTTTCCCATAATTACCAATAGTTAATGGATCCATTTTTACATTCAAAGTTAGTCCCTGCTTTTTTTCTAAACTCTTTAAGAGATTTTAACAGAGTATAACCATCAATGGAGGTCACGTGGTCTAAAGACAAGCTTAGATATCAGAATAATAGCTATAACTGCTTTTTTTTGTGGTAAAACAGAATATATTATATTTCTATGAGTTATTCACAAGGTTTTTATTGTGAAATAAAGATCTCATACGAAGAGTTATTATCACTTTAATGAAAAAATAATTTACAGGGTGTAATTTTTTCATCAGTTCAAGATTTGGATATGGTTAAAGTTGAGGTAACAGGAATGTGTCAAGATTACTTTTTTATGTACAGACACAGTTGAGTCTGTACATTTAGCCATCACCTGCATCTGTTGTTGCCGGTGTCGCCGTATACTTTCACCGAGTGATGCCAGTGTCAAAACAACAGAATTGCTGTCTCATTTTCAAAATCAAAAAGGTTGCTTTATTCAATTTCAATCATTTTTATTACAAGTTAGTAGTTAGAATAACATTTTTTGTTTGTAGCTCATTTACTTTCTATTGAGAAACTGGAAAATAACTTACACACACACCTAATGAATGTCAACACATCCTTTACTTTTAAATTCATTCCAGTACGTGTGAATAAAATACTTACTTCCACAGTCACTCATGATCAGCTTTGAACTGAAATAAAACTTTCCATAATTAATCTTCTGCTCAAATAAGTTTTGAGGCTCAAAACTTATTAAATTTAATAATCTATTACCAAATAAATTCTATATAACAAAAGTTAAAACCATTTTATTTAAAATCATGCTTAATTAAACTTACCCAAACATGAGTTATTTGATCATATCGTATTCTGTTTGTATGAAACTACTCATTACAGTTATATGCAAAGAAAAAATAGATTAATAAAGTAAAAAATATAAATTAAAATTACAAAATATTAATTTCTTCCAGTAATTATTACTTGATGCTGACATAACATATGTTAGTTACATTAACTGGCAATGTACTTTATAATTAATACTCCTTCTGTCCTTTAAATATATATATCTGAAAATATTAATAATGGTTAATCAATTGTGATTACATCCATCTTGTAATCATTACCTTATTTTAATGTACAAATTTACGAATCCATTAAAATATGTTAAAGCATACATATATAAAAATTAAGCACAAATAATCATCCGTATGTTGTATGAAGCAACAAAATATATTTTACTAAAACAAATGTTTATAATTTGTTTACCTATATATCCCTATCATACAATAAAACTATCAGTTAGACTCTACTCATTTTATTAGTAACACTTAAGCATTTTCAGTTGATGATGTTAAATTGAACCCTTTAATATATATATATATATATAATCTATAATATATAATTATTGACCAAGGACATTTACTACATTAATACTCACTTTCCATTTTATTGATGATTCCTGTTGCAAACAAACAAAGAAAAAAATAAACAAAATATTTACATACAAGTGAAGATAAATACAAAGATATATAGATAAATTATAAAAAAAATATGCTTGTTATTACATTAATTAGTTCACCAAGTTTTAAAAATAAATGTATAATTAATAAATTACATTTGTAAACATTGTTTAATAGTGTAACAAACAAACAAGTTACAAAAAATTCTCTATATAATTCCTTAACATGACATTTAGACAAACAATATGGCACAGACAAATAACTAATTAAAAATTACTATATATATAATATATTTATATATATTACAAACAAAAACTAGGCACAACAAAAGCGCAGTAATAAACCTTATCATAAATGCCCATGTTATTAATAGATAATTAAAGATTGGTTGTAATTATACAGATAATCATTATGTTATATTGCATCAAAATTGACAAAAAAAAACTACCCATACGCTGTCATTACAAACGTTATGATAAAAAGAAAACTGTGTTACTTATAATTTTCTTACTTACAAGAATGATATAGGATTGACAAAAGTCACATACAGCTCAACTTAGAAAACCAACTATATAGGATTACTTTTTTTTATTGAATTAACACATTTTTTTTTGTGAAATTGTCATTTTTCTAATTTTTGTAAGTGTTAACTTAAACTCTCACGGGTCTGAAGCCTTATGCTTTTACTTTCATCGGTATAACCTGTTGTGCATAATTAAAATCTGAAGTATACTTTGCAGTTAAGCATAATGTGTCATTGCTTCAGAATTGGCAATTTGCTTCAAAATTGCTTTGTTATCTTGTATACTACATTATTTGACATTGTGTCAAAAAATGCATATTGTTCACTTTCTTAGCATGTTAAAGAATGTCATTTTTCCAAGTATTGGAATACTTTAACTTTCCCATTCAGTTGAGTCACAACCACATCTCCATCCTGGTTGATGGTACATCCCCATGGGTATTCTAGTCTATCAGCACTGGTTGCTATGTACTGGATGAACTTCCCATCTGGGGATACAAGGTGTATGCAGTGCTTATCAATATCTGTAACCAGTATGTTGTCATAGGCATCAACACAGATACCACGAATGTCACCTAACTTGTTATCAGGTCCTGTGTACTGATACAGTGGGTCACCAGATGGGGTTAGGATGTGAAGTTTGTTTGGAGTTTCATCACTAACAACAAGACACCCGTTGCTCATATATGCCACTTTATATGGATTATTGAACAACTGCTTCCCACCTTTGTTCTTTATCACACCAGTTAAAGTTATTTTCCCTTTGATATCAATACTGAACACACTCACAGACTTCTCTCTGCTACCCTGTGCCACAGCAATTTTAGTGCAGCTGTTATTGAGAGCCACACCATATGGGTTGTTGACATCTGCAGTTTGCTGTACTTCCCACTGTGGTGACAGGATGAACAGTTTGTTGTTGAAATCATATAGAACCATCCTTCCATCAGGGAAGTGAGAGATCCCTATTGGACATCCTAGCTGTGTGTCTGAGATACTTCTGATCTCTTGCCTTGATGTACCATCTGAACTAAAAACCTTGACCTTCTTCTTTAAAACATGAGTAGTAACATACTCCCTGTTTGGACTCACTGAAATGTCCACTGTCACCTCACCGCCAGTGTCAAACTCCAGCATACATTCAGCCTGTGGTTTGAACTTAGGCAAAGCTGGTAGTGTAGATATCTGCACATTCCCCAGGCCAGCCCCACTGGATATCTCTTGGTCCACCTTTATGTTGGTGGTGAGTGTGAGTTTTAGTTTATCTGGAATATCATCCACAGCTGAAGTGGACTGTAGCTCATCTAGTCTCTGTCCAAGTTGGTGTTGTAACATGAGGACACCTATGGGGGCACCACGTTGAAGGATGTTCTTTACTACATCTGTTGTGGTTTTAATAGAGGAGCAAGTGGCACTGCAGTTTTTGCAGGAAATTTGTAAATTATTTCTGTCAGTGCTGGTGGTTTGATGAAGCTCCTGTAGTAAGGTTTTCTCTCGTTGATCTACCAGTTGACGTAGATGAGCTGCGCGAGCTTTGATCTTCTGCTGAACAAAGCTTTCATTTTCTTGTAGGTTGGCCAATGTTTTATCAATTTTAGCTAACTTTCTTTCACCAGTTGCAAGTTTTCTCTGCATGCCAAGAGATTTGGTCTGAAGTTGTGGCTTTACCATCTCTGCAGCTTTTTCAAGGGAGATAAGTTTGTGGCCATCATGGTGTAGGTCTCTGCAGTCACGACAAATGGGGACATTGCAGTCCGAACAAAAGTATCGTATCATCTCACCTTTGTGCTCTGGGCAGATAATCTTCTGCTGCTCTTGGATTTCTTTTTGATACTCACTGCTGTGAAGTTGTTGAAAAGTGAGTACCCTGTGATCTTTAGTGAGTGTGGTAGCACAGTGAAATGAAGAACACTTCTCACATAGGTAGTCATGGCAGGTGATACATTTTGAAGTAGCCACTGTTTCAGTTTGGGACAACAAAAAACAAAAGCTGCAATTTTTCTTATGTGGTGACTGAAGTACAGTGTCCTGCAAGCTTTCAATGAAGAAATTGTGAGTAAAGCCCTCAAGTCCATCTTTAGGAACTGCAGTCTCTTTCTGACACACAGGACATCGGAATTTACTTCCTGGTGTTGAGTTTGAAATACAAGTCTTCAGACAACACTTACAAAATGTATGCCTACATGGTAAATCTGTTGGATCTTTGTA